GCCCATGTGCATATTATATATAATAAACTTATTTGAATAACAATATTTATTTATTTATTTATACATGTACATACATGATAATAAACTTGAAGTATATAATATAATAATACATACCTGGGCTATTCATTTTGCTCGCTAGAAATCACCAATGGTAGAATTCCTGAACAGACACTGCAAAAGCACTTTATTTTGTTGTTATTGCTTCTCTACAATCAGTGAAACCAGCAACAAACTGATAATTTTAAGTCCATAAAATAACGTTTAAAGATTTATTGATGACAAACGCGTTTCAAGAAAGCAGCGTGGTGGTTATTGCATAATCTGAAGCATCTAATTTTTGCTGAATTCGTCACTTTATATTAATTTTCGAAATTGTTTTTTTTGTGTGTGTGGCAGTCAGTGTTGCTCTCGGAAATATTGCTTCGGATTTTGCTTCAGAACAAGATTAGTCGTTCAGGACAGTCTAATTCATCGTACGTCGTCATAATATTATGAAGAGAAATGCACACGTCCTACATTCACGCACATAGCCTAGGCAACAGCTGGCCAAGCTAAAATCAACAAATTTATTTCCAAGACACCGTAGTCTTCGTGCACATGTCCTAGTTTCCCGGTTCGGCTATCTGTCTATCTGGCCTAAGCCGTGATCTGGCCCAAATGTTGCCATCGTAAGTCGAGCCTCGGGTAAAAGTAATCTATGAGAAGAGCACACGTGCGGGGGTAATATTCTGACAGAAGTGAAAGCGTTGCGTTTTCTCAAGTCTTGCGACCATTGCTAAGTTAGCGTGCTATGCCCTGCCTGCGACCCTTCCCTTATCCTTACTATCGCAACACATGCTTCTGTCACGTCATAGAACGAGGTAAGATGTCACAGAGCAGAGGTAGCAGAGGGTTGGGGGTTTTTGTTTTTTTTTAGTAAGGTTTTATGGCGCTCGCAACAGCATGAGGTCTTATGAGCACCAAGGGGTGGATGTCAACATTAACAGAGAAGTCCAAACGAGGAATCAGGCTTACTCTGCTCACCACACGAGCCTCAACAGCACACAAAGTCCGCTTCGACTATCAAGGCAACCCGGAAATAGCAGTTTACAAGAGAGTGACAAACATACAAAAGGAGTAGAGGAAATTTGACGATGGTAAGGATGAGGAAAGAAAAAGCAGCAGTTCTCCCTAGATCTACATTGTTTCGGCACAATATGAGCATGACTGACATTGATAAGTCAGCCAATTTACAATTCTACAGCGCTTACGAACATGTTTATATGATTATATCCCCCCTTTAGGAATGACCTAAAGACATTTCAGTCAGTGGCCTTTCCCCGAAAGGGGGTGGGTGGGGGGCAAAGGTGGCAACACGGGCTTCATGAACGTGGAAAGTTTTAACTTTCCCTAACTCGTCCTCTTTTATGACTTATCTTTAAACTAAGAAGATGGCAACAGGTCATAACACCAGCGTCTGTGATGTAGCGGTTATATAAAGGTGCGTCGATGTCGCACGCAGGAGACTCGTGTTCGATTCTCGAGTGGGGAGAAATTTTGATCGGGTGTCTTTGTCTTTCTGCTGAGATTTTATGTCTCTCTCAGTTCGGGTTGGTCCTTACAGGCGAGTCGGAAGCCTGCCTCCTATATGCTGTAAATTGTGTCGATAAAAAAACTTCCTGAAAAAGCCACACTCAAACACCATAATAAGTAGAGATGTTTTAATAATAATAAATGACATTTATATAGCGCTCAAACCCGATTAAAGTACACAGGCTCTGAGCGGTTTACAATACAGTACAACGTACAACAGTTACATAAAACGTTGTGTTCTGACCACAGAATTCTACACTAAGTGTAGAATTCTGTGGTTCTGACTAAAAGAAAATGACTCCAAATATTCATCTTATTAATTTAAAAACAGAAACGACTTCAGCTGACATTTGAACGAATCAATAGGTTTGATCTCTCTTAAAGTACTTGGTAAAGCATTCCAGATCTTGGGGCCTTGGTATTCAAATGCCCTTTCACCCATTGTTTTAAGTTTCATAGATGGTAAAATAAATTTCTTTCTGTCAGCTGATGACCTTAAACTGCGAGTTGGAATGTACAGTCTGTCTCTGTCTGTCTGTCTGTCTGTCTGTCTGTCTGTCTGTCTGTCTGTCTGTCTCTCTCTCTCTCTCTCTCTCTCTCT